GTGTATTCTTTACTTATAAAAGTAATTGAAATGTAAAAATAATAGGAATATCATTAGGTTAGTTAAGGTTAGATTAGGTAAAATAAATAAAAATAATATAATAAATATTTTTCACGAGACACACATGTGAACAGCTTGGAGTAGCTCATGGGTAATGTAATTCAATAGCGTAATGTAAGCTCCATGTTCCCTAAGTGATTTACAACTTATAATGGCATGAATGGTAGTAGTTAGATGTGGTACAAAGGGCAACAAAACAATAAAAAAAGGGTAATTTAGATTTGATTTGATTTTTTTTATGATTAGAAGGTCGGTCAAATTGGCCAACCTTGTATAGTTAGGGTAGAGAAAATAACAGATAAAATATTAAGTTTTTCTGAAAAAAATGTTTGAAATGTACTTGGGACATTTTAGAGGTTATGCTAAGGAAATCTGAGATTTTGGGGAGGAAGAAAGTATTTTTAATCTTAACATGAAAATCACTTTGCACATGGACTACTTAAAAAAAAGACTTGATATACATATGGACAAACCTTTTTTTTTTTTATCAAAAATACTTCACTAAAAACTCTGAATTTGTATATGTAAAAGACTTGTAATGCTTACTGAAAGTCTGCCAAATTTTGTGAAAGTACACATGCTTTATTAAAAGTTAGTAGTATCAAAACTATAACGACTTTAAACAAGTACAAAGTGGTCACATGGTCAGTCAATTTGACTGAGCCCCTGTAGAGAGAGTTAAAATAATTTAACCCTTAAGATACAAGTAGGTCAAAGTGTGTATTTTGCAATGATTTTGCAGAGTTAGTTCACAGTTTAATAAAACTACTTTGTTATCAATGTATGCCAATACACTTGGCATCAAAATGTAGTACATAAATCAAATTGTAATACTATATAAAAATTAATTTCTGAATTTAAAAACAAAATATTTAAATAAATTCTCAATCATCACTTTAATGCATCATGTGATTTTTCTTTACTCTGAAATCACACATTTTAGAATTTCTTTCCACCTCTAAGTTATTTTTCAAGTTTCCAAGGGATTACACATTTATATATTAGATATCCTCAAGCTAAAAAATTAAAATTTATAGCATATATTCTTCTTGCTTTAGTGAGTTATATGTTATAAACTGAAATGCATATGTCATATCCCTCCTAGCACATTTAAAAAATCTGAATAACTCTATCTGACATTGTTTTTGACCAATAGAAATAATAGATTTTAATTTACTGATGTCCACATGAAATTAGTTTGTTTTCACAATCAGTTATGAGTTATTTTGTATGTACATAGTATTACGTATTACAATTTATCCTGGATGAGCCCCCAATTTATTACGTAACTTATTATAATTTGAAATAGCTGAGACTGTGCTAAATGATAATTTAGATTTATAAATTAAATAAATGTTGAATGTATCCAATTTATGATAATTGCCAACAAGGTTGATACACACAGTTTTTTTTAATACAAATATATTTCAATATACAAACAATAACACAATTTACAATAATGGTTATTACAAATAATGATTGTTATATATATATATATAAAGATATATAACTTTCATTTTTGCCAATTGCCGAATAGAAAGGCTTTTAGTCGTATTTCTTAATAGTATAAATATATACTATGGTGTTGTTGGGCTTAGGATTCTTCTACAGTAGGTG